GTAATCCATGCAATTATTTAGCACATAGAAAAGTATGGACTATGAAACATTTTGATTTTTTTTAATGGACTTTTAAGAAATTTGATTGGATGAAGAGTTGTTATACTTGAGAACAATATAATAATAATGTAACATTAAACGATAATGACTGTGATAAGTTTTCTAAACGTTCTTAAGGAATATTATATCTTTCGTCATAAATTGAAGCACCGTGATAATGTCTGAAGGAAACGATTCATTTATCATTTTTATATATACTTTTTTTAAGTAGTACTGTGAAGTTAAACAACAGTGCAACGCTGAAATGTCTCTGTTGCATTACTGATCACGTTTGAATTTATATTTAAAGTCTTTAAGATAAAGGTTTAAATGGAAAAATCATATAAATAAACAATATCAATGATCCATTTAAATAAAGTTAATGTCAAATTAACCCTATCAGACCTTACAATCATTGGATACACAAAAATAGAAACAGGCCTAACCACAAATATTTAACATTGAACACTGAACAATAAAAAAATGAGGTCCAGGTCAAGTGAAGCCTGTAATAGAGAGACATTTACACCTTCTAATCATTCCATACACCAAATTAAATTGACATATTGCTCCTAGTATCAGAGAAACGGGCTTAACTGTTAAAACTAAACATTGACTGGTAAACCATGAAAATGAGGCCAATGTTAGGTGAACGCTGCCAGACGGACATGTACAGCTTGCAAGCAATGCATACCCAAAATAGTTGTTCTGGTATCTTAGAAACAGACTAAAACCTGAAAACATTATATTGATCACTGAACCTTACAGATGAGGACATGGTCAGATAAAACCCGCCAGACGTAAATGTTCAACGTTCAATAATTCCTTACATAAAATTTAGTTGACCTATTGCTTATATTATCTAAGATAAGGACTTGATCATGAAAACTTAACCTTGGTCATTGATCCATGAAATGCGGTCAAGGTCAAGGGAACCTGTCTGGCGGACCTGTTGATCCTACAAGGATCCCATACGCTAAGTACGGTTATCCTTTTACTCATGGTTAGTTAGAAATTCACGTTTGAAAAAAAAACTATAAAGTTTTTCTAAGCAGTCGCTAAACAGTGCAATCGAAGACGAGAAAATGGACATTTAAAAGACGAAAAGGTCGTAACATAAGGCATCAGTATACAAGGTATGAGACTTCCAGGTCTTCTTCCTTGTGAAATATAAAGCTTTATAAAAATAGTTAACGGCGTATTCGGATATTAAAAATACTTTGCCTCGCATTCTACTTTCGTCGCAGGCGAGACAAAGATGATTTCCAAACATGTAATATTATATAAATTATCTATTGATAGTTGATTTTTGAATGCCTATGCCACAAGACTAACATGCATCTTTTGGCCACATAAATCCATATTTTAATAAATTTACATAGCTTTAGTTGAACTGTGAAATTGTTTTCAAAACTTGTAGAACGCACACTGCCACTAGACTATCTATTCCAGTTTTTTTGTCAATATTACCATCTAAAGAAAATGACATATCTCAATATACATCCCTACTCTAGCAGCTACCATCATTTTCATTCTGAAGGCGAGGTTCTTTTCAAATTGCATTTTTTTTAATTTTGTTTTTGCTTGGTTGACCTAAAAACTCTTCTTTATTCAACACTCTCAAGATCAAGATATGAAAGCTAAGATACTAGTGACTAGATTTTACATAAACATTCTTTAATGAGATATTTTTATTGTAAAAGTAGAAGATGTGGTATGTTCGCCAACGAGACAACTCTCCACCAGAGACCAAATGTCGTAGAAGTTAACTTTTTACAAACAACTTTATAACACGTAGTCAGCAAAAATCAACTATCAATAGATCAATTACTCGATTTGTGGATATGGGCTAAATTGGAAAGTACATGGAAAGGAATAAGCTATAAAATGAAGGGATCAGGGCTTTCATTTGTCGTCACTGGTAATCTAACTTCCTCTTTGAAGTCTGTAATGTGTGATAATATTACCCAAATCGCAAAAACCTCTTGGCTATATACCAAACGGTTGAAATGAAAAATGTTTTTGAATTAAATAATTGTGCACTGTATAAAATAATAGGAAAGTATTGGTTTATATTTAATACACTGAGTTGAGTGTGAATTCCTATCTATCTCGTTGGCAACATTTTTGTGACATAAATTAATTTAAACAAACGATACGAACTGGTATAAAACACACATGTGTCTTTATATTTGTTAAAACTACGTTCATATACTTTGACTCGGAAGCCGCGAGATTTAGACGAATTTTCGAAAACAGGGTTTATTCATTAGTTGCAATTGGCTTTGAACTAGCATTCACTATCTGCGAGTACTATTAGATCGGTACTTTGTGTTTCATTCGACGGGAATCCAATCTATTAGTTTACAATTGCAAGCTAGTGATTATTGTAGATGAACTAATTAGACAACTCAGCAACACTGTGTCATGCCAGGGCATTTTGTAGCTTACGATATTGGTTTTGCACATTGATGAAGGCCGTATAGTGACCTTTAATTGTTACATCCGTGTCTTTATGTTTCTAGTGGGTATTTGTCTCGTTGGCAAACATACCACACCTTTTTTTATTTTAATGTAGTTTTACGTGTGCACCAAACCTCCTCTATGCTTATCTAGACCACAAAGCAAAAAAAAACAAAAAACACACAATTTATCTCTGACAGTTTTTTAATCCTCTGTGTATCAATTTTTTTATATTAATGTAGTTTTACGTGAGCACCAACCCCCCTCTATGATTATCTAGACCATAAGCCAAAAAAACAAATCACACACAATTTATCTCTGACAGTTTTTTAATTCACTTTGTATCATTTGTTCCTTCGTCATTTATGATCCTTGTAATCTTGGGATTATAGATACCACCAAAAATATAAGGTCCGCATTATATCTTGATCTTTTCCATATAAATCGACGCATACAATCTAAAATCTATGCCAAATGTCAACTTCCCATTTCTCAGCAGTAACATACCTTCGATCTGTTCCATTATATAGCGTTTATATACTAGCATGCCTTACCATACGTTATGATCGTGCATGTTTACACTATTCGGACTTTATTAACATGGGTGTGCTACTTAAACAAAAACTACTCCAACAGAGTTGTGAGGTTATGAGGGAGAACGACTGAAATCGACACTATATAAGCTTTTCGATTACTATTACGAATTGGTTGACCGATACGACATTTCATTGTCTCAACTCACTACCGATGTTTTCGTGGTCTAACATCTTTAAATACCAGTAAAGTCGTCTGATCTGTAGTTTCACGATTTTGTTCCCGATTATGACCTCTTGAGTGAGGTTGAATTGGCATGGCGGGTGATGCTTGCATGACAAGAGACGCTTGCCCTGTCGACTCACCTGGTGTCGATCCTTTTGGAGTTCATACGAGTCCTTGTTTTTGTTTGTAATCTTGATTTGTATCTTCCTAACCAATTGGCAAGATTTAACAGTCCAGATTTACTGTTATCTTAATTTATGGTCAAGGGTAGAACTGACTATTCGCAAACCAAGTTTATACGTTAAAGGGCATTTAAAAAGACCAGTCAATTCGTCATAAGTTATCTTTTGTCTCATTGATTTTTCTTAAATTGATGGCAGATGTTTCCTGTTTAATGAATCCACTTTATGCCTTGATTATATAGATAGGAGCGGTTTGCTTTTCGTTTATATGGTATTGAAACTTCTATCACTGATGACCGTGTGACCTTGATACGCCTTTTTGGTTCTATGATGATGTTAGGTTACTGCCTTATAGACGTACAGTGGAGATTACTTCTAACCTCTCATCAAATCTGTCAGAATCTGTCAGGAGATTTGTTCTAGGACAGTATGTAGAACTGTCATCCTGACACCTTTTAGACAGTTCTAGCTAGAACAGTTCTAACCTAGAACTGATGTGGTCAGTTTTACCTAGAACTGATTTAGACAGTTCTACCTAGAACTGATCCTGACAGTTCCACCCTAGAACAGTTTTAGACAGTTCTACCTAGAACTGACCAAATCTTTGGTCAGTTCTACGACTAGAACAGTTCTGCGGCTAGAAGTTCTACGACTAAAACAGTTCTACGATTAGAACTGATTTGGTCAGTTTTACGGCTAGAATTGATTTAGTCAGTTCTATCCATAGAACAGTTTTAAGAACTCTTTGTCTTAAATATAAAAAAGTCAAAAGAATATAATATATATTAAAAAATTCTCATCACAGCACTGTTTTAACATTTCTCGTTACGGAAAATGTCCGTAACCGTCATTTAGAACTGTTCTACAATCCTGACAGGTTTGGTCAGTTCGACGGCTAGAACAGTTTTAGACAGTTCTGCTGACAGTTCTACGGTTAGAACTAATTTAGTAAGTTCAGCTGACAGTTCTACGGTTAGAACTGATTTGGTCAGTTCTGCTGACAGTTCTACGACTAGAACTGATTTGGACAGTTCTACCTAGAACAGTTTTAGACAGTTCTACCCTAGAACTGATCCTGACAGTTCTACCTAGAACTGATTCTGACAGTTCTACTTAGAACAGTTCTAGGGTAGAACTGTTCTAGGACAGTTTAGAACAGTTCTATGACAGATTATTCTGACAGTTCTAATGAGAGGTTAGAAGTGATCTCCACTGTATACCTCTTCTCACATTCTTTTTTTTTTTTTTTTTTGTTGTTGTTTCATTTATGATGTATTGTTTTACTCAAATAAAGTAATAAAGATCACATATTGAACATTTACACTGAAACGATTTTTTTAATGCATACTGTTCAGACACGTTTGAATTTATTTTATATATTTTTGAAATATTTACCCTAATAAAGTATTACTTCCCATTGTAGTCTGGATTTATCTATTTTAACAAAAAGGAAATAAGCAGGAAGAGTTCCTTCAATTTTTATTTTTTTATCTTTTCATAGTATTTCTTTGTAGCTATCGCTCGAAGAAATGATAATTAAGAACAACGACAATGATCTATATTTCCATAATTTTATTTAAATACTATAAAAAAGTACACTCTGCAAAAAAAACTCACCAAAGATACCAGGCTTATAATTGTGTAAATCCGACACGTCTATTAAAAAACTCATCAATGACACTCGAATCAAAAAGCTAAAAGGCCAAATACGTTTCGAAGTTGATGATTATTGAGGGTCAAACATTCCGAAAGGTTTGGCCAAAGGTGTAATACTACCAAATCATAGTACGTCACATCCGGTTTCATACGAAAAAGGGTCAGAAAAAAAATATTCCCTTGAATTTGACAATTGTATGAAATAAATCATACATTTCATTGCAGTAAAAATTTCTGATTCATTAACATATATCTTGGGTGTTTTCAATCCCCATTCTTTTTTTATTTGATGTTTCTATAAAATATTTTGGAAACTTGAGGTAACATGATTACTAAAGCTTGTAAACAAGAAAAAAAGGGGTGAAATTCGATTGGTTAACTTCCAGCGATGGTTATTATCTTATATGCAATGAAATGTTATGTGAATTTTTGTCTGTAGTACTGAACAGGATAAAACTTTACTCATGCCAAGTTTTTCTTTTCTGAACCAAAGATAAATTCTAGACAATTTTTTTGAAAAGTGCCAATTTAACAAAGACTAAAAGGGGAAACAATGGTGGTATTACTCCCAAATACAGCTATGGTAATCTATTCCTGGGGTATATATACAAATATTCAGCGGGACGTTCAGTAATGGTCTAAGAAAAAGAAATAGATATTCTAAAAGATTAAAAAATAAAACAATTACAGCACCTATAAGCTACGAATAACGTTATCAACTATATTTGTTCAGGTTTCTATTCTCACAATGTCATTCTGCAACGGCTTCTAAATCTCGACGAGGCATTAGAAAAGTTGACATGTTGAAGAAATCGATGAAAATTCTGTACTTGTCGCTGAAAATTAAGATATTGTATAATGATACATGTTTAGAAAATAGAATAATCAAAATGTGAATCAAAATAAACAGCTGCTTAGTTTGGCAAGCGCTAAGTATGTTACAATTCGCTGAATAGTGACATAAAAAATATTTACAGCATTTCGCGTCTTAATTTCCTATAAAAACGGGACAATCTATTCTGAAAACATGTGACAAAACCAATTAATTGTTCGTCTTTCAAATTAATAAATTACAAAGCACATGCCTACAAATTATTAACCTGCAGATGTTATTTGACATAACAAAAGAATAACTTATTTTGGTTGATCGTAATAGAATATCTGTATCATAGATGACCAATGATATGATCCAGGCCAGTTGTCGTAGTATTATATTTTAATTTCGTCTCTTTTGTGTGTGAATACGGACAAGAGTTCCTATTTCGTTTTCATGATACTGATGTGATCCAAGTATCAATTTCAACTGGTAAATGTGTTTAAAACTAAACAATTTTGAAATTTACTACATAAATAGCCAGATCTAATGCAACCATTGTTAAAAGATGAAAACAGTATAATTATATACATTGTATGGTATTCTATAACAACACTGTTTCAAAGATTAAAAAATTCCACAATTGTTTGTTTGAAATTTAGTACCTTAGATCAAATGTCATGTAACTGATCTTTAACAGTATTTTGTAACGATGTTTTTTTCAGTTGTTATAGATTATTTAAACATATCAAATCACCAATTGATGCCCGCAAATCATAAAAAAACAATTGCAAGAAGAACTTAAAAGGAATCTGAATACATGAATGAAAAAAAAATTATGGCTATAATGCTAATGCAACATACTTTTTAGATATAATATTATGTTATGCTTTCAGTGATTTTTTTATGTAATGTAATGTAATATATATTTACCACTATTCGTGTATTAATGGCACACTTGTTCGCAAGCGTAATTGATATTTGTTGGTATTTTAGTTATGTTGAATGCAGATTGGGTGCTGCGTCACTGACGATTATGTCGACAACTAAAATTTTAATAGTTTATGTAATCTTTATACGCTTCGTTTTAACCGTGCAAATTATAGAAACTTTGTTCAGAAAAATTAGTTGACAATCATTTCAGTAAAAAATTAAAAATAACAGTAATATAATTCGTATCGAACGGAACATGATGTTTGCAGCAACTTTATATGCACCCGCCATAGGCAATGGGGGCATAAAGTGTTACAATTGACCTTCCGTCCGTACCATTTTCGTTTCCGCACTCTAACTTTAGTTTTCCTCACCCAAATTTTATAAACCTCAAACACAATGCTAAGAACCAAAACAAGCAAGCAGAGTTCGAATGTAGGCAGTGAGTCACTTGCCGTTCTAGAGTTATGCCTCTTTATATCTTGGGAAATTGCATTTTTTATTAGTTTCTGTACTCTAACTTAAAACAATTTACTCAGACAAATTATATGAAACTCATACACAATGCTAAGAACCAAAAAACTCGCAGTCTACATAGTTCGAATTTGGGCAGTGAGTCACTTACCGCTCTAGAGTTATGCCCCTTTATAATTTAGAAAATTGTATTTTTTTTCCGCACTCTAACTTTATTATGCCCATCTGAATTTTATGAAACTCACACACAATGCTAAGAACCACAACATGCAGACAGAGTTAACATTTTGGCAGTATTTCATTAACCGTTCTAGAGTTATGTCCTTTATAACTTGGAACATTGCAACTTTTTTTCAGTTTCTGTACTCTAACTTAAGTTTGTCTCGTTCAAATTTTATGAAACCCACATACAATACTAAGAACCACAACACCCAGACAGAGTTTGAATTTGGGCAGTGAGTCATTTACCGTTCTAGAGTTCTACCCCTTCTTAACTAGGAAAATTGCAAAGCTTGAGCGGGGGCATTCGTGTCCTCAGACACTTTCTTCTTTTATTTTAAAGTTGTTTTATAATCATTTAAAAACAATGTTTTATTCATATATTTCTTTTGACAGATTGGAATTTATTTCCTATTTAATTCAATATTATCAAAATTATATTTTTATAAACAGCTTGATTTTCTGTCCTGCTATTTGTATTTGGAAAACCTTTCGGAATTTGTTGCCTTCGGTACTCAATTTCGTACTTTAGTCTGTCTTTAAACTTTTTAGATTCGAGCGTCACTGATCAGTCTTGTGTAGACGAAACGCTCGTCTGGCATATACAAATTATAAGCCTGGTATATATGATGAGTGTATCTGTAATATTTTAACAATACCTGACTGTAGATTGTAGATACTGATATCCTGATGATCCTCCAGTTCCAGCTTTGCTTCCAATCATGCGATGCACCATTAGCACGTGGTTGTCTTTCAAATAAAATTATGACAACATCAATACATATTCATTATAATGTAAGTATAAACGTTTGAATAAATTATTCATATTGCAATACTTAATAAGTGTTACAAAATTTAATTACCTTGAACAAATTAGGTGTGAGTACTGACAATCTGTTTTGTTTTTAGTTTTTTTTTTGGGATTTTCTCGATAAGAGAAAATTGTAAATATTGTTACCTCTTGAAAATGTTAAACAGATATTAACATAAAACAAGAGGCTCTCAAGAGCCTGAATTTCTCACCTTTAGTTTTTTATTTAAATTTTTCATCAAAGCTTTTCTTTTGCTTTTAAGTTTTTAATTTATAATTAATAAGTGTGGACACAAACCAGTGTGGATAGTATACAGCATTCTGAGAGTATTGCATGGCAATTAGGAAAGGTGAGCTAAAAACAATAAACGAAAAGCAAATATGAAACACAGCAACAAATGACAACCACTAAAATTATTGGATTTTGAGTTGTCCAAGGAGGGATAAAATTTATGTACTGTATTTAAACCCTGTCTTTAACATGGGACTGTGGTGTTACAGCACAACATAAGAACAAATATTTATTTATTTTTTTTAAATAGACTTCCTGTATGTATCAGTGTGTTTATTTATTTCACATTAGCTAGAGGTACACAATTTATTGGTGATAGGTTTACATCTCACAAAACATGTATAACTTGCTGAATTTTTGTGCATGTCCTAATTCAGGAACAAAGCATTTTTGAGTTATTGTCAGAAGTGTTGACGATGGAAACGGACGGACAACGATAAACATGTACCATAATATGCCCCATCTAAAAAAAAACAGGTATATAAAAGATTGATAAAATTCTGTCAAGAATTGTACACGTGAGAGTGTTAACGATACCTTTTTTCCATATGATTAATATTTCCAAGGGGCACAAGTCAATTTCTATCTTTTATCCAAATAGCTCCAACTTAAGCTTTAGTCATATTTATATTCAACTCTCTTTAGACCATATTGCAAAGCTATAGACATAAACGAAAGTAAATTTCCAAAATATTGACAAGAGGCAAGTTTTTGCAACTTTTTTTTTTTCCTGAAGCAGAGGGATAAATCAATATACTGGTGCTAACAGAGCTACTTGGGGTGGGGTGGGAGAGGGGGGTCAACATTGCATCAAGAAAGAAAATCATCCTTTCACATGGAGCAGGATGCATGCATGACCCTTAGTGAGTACCTGTGAGTCTGTTATAAAGTCTGTTTTTACAAGGCAATATTACAGTTGTTTTTTTAGGCAAGTAATAAAAACAAATTTTTCAACATATTTTATTGTAAACTCCAGTTTCTTGTCAGCTCTGAGGGGACAACCACTACGTTCTCAGAGGGTCTGGGCAAATTTATTAGTCATAAAATGTCCAAGTATTTAGCAATTAAATCCAAAAACGTGAATAAATTTACAGTGATAAAACAATACAATTTTTGATTTCAGGTTATAACTTGTCATTGGTATAAAACATTTCTGCATTCATCTCCTTCATCAAAAATTCAGAAAGTGATGAATTACATGACAATTATACTTTTTTAGACTATTTAAACAACAGCCTGATCTTACCTCTTACCAGGATGCAAAATAAAACAGGAAGTTGATGTAAGAAGGAAATGATAAAAGAAAAACCACGATCCCGAACTCAGAACGGATTTACCCAAAAAATGAAAAAAAAAAAAGAAAAAAAGATTTTCAGATTTAGTTGTTTGTAGATCTTACTTTGCTGAACATTTTTACGGTGTCTCCCTATTTATAGTAATATTCAAGATAAATAACCAAAAACTATTTTTTTTTATCAAAACTGCATTTTACCCCTATGTTCTATTTAAGCCACAGTGGCCATGTTTCTTGACGTACAAGAAAATAAAACATAAAATGCATACTAGTTACCCTAAGGTTCATTCAGTCCAAGTTTGGCTGAATTTGCTTCAATAAGTTTCAGAGAAGATTTTTGAAAGTTACAAACATGATGAACAAATTATGCAAAATTACCTTTAAAGGGCAAACACTCCTTAAGGTTCAATTGACAATTTTATTCATTTGACTTATTTGTAGATCTTACTTTACTAAACATTTTAACTGTTTACAGTTTATCTTTATCTATAATAATATTCAAGATAAAAACCAAAATTGCAAAATTTCCTTTAAATTATCAATTCAGGGGCAATAACCTAAAAATCATTTATTCAATTTGGCAGTAAATTTCAGGGCAGGTAGATCTTGTCCTAATGAACACTTTAACTCATCGTCAGATTTGCTCAAATACCTTGGTTTTAGAGATATAAGCCAAAAAACCACAGTTTACTCTTATGTTCTATTTTTAGCCATGGCTGCCTTGATTTTTAATGAAACATAATATAAAACACAAACTTTATACAGCATACCCTAAGGATTATTCAGCGTAAATTTAGCTGACATTGCTTCAGTAGTTTCAGAGGAGGAGATTTTTAACGTTAACAATCATGATGAACAAATTGTGTAAAACTGCCTTTAAATGGCAACATTTCATTAAAATTATCAATTTAGGGGCAATAACCCAAAAATAGATTGTCTGATTCGTCTGAAAATTTCAGGTGTAGGTAGATCTGGACCTAATGAACACTTTGACCACATGTCAGATTTGCTCTAAATGCTTCAGTTTTTGAGATATAAGCCAAAAACTGCATTTTACCCCTATGTTCTTTTTTTATCAATGGCGGCCATGTTTTTTGACGAAACAGAAAAAAAACACAAACTTTATACTAGATACCCTAAAGATCATTCAGCTTAAGTTTGGTTGAAATTGGTTCAGTAATTTCAGAGGAGAACGTCTTTGAAATAGTTTACACAGGACGGACGACGACGGACGCAAAGTGATGGCAAAAGCTCACATTTCCTTTTAGGGAAGGTGAGCTAAAAATGTAGAAAAAATAATTACATTTCTTACATTTTAGTATGTAACATAATCTTTCAATGAACTTATGATTGGTCGTTTATCGGATTTTCTATCTTTAAAATAACGGTATTCCTGCTGCTGGTCAACATTGCCCACAATGACCAAAACAGCTCGATAATTTCCAAGCTTTTGAAGTATCGGGTAAAATTGAAAATCACATACAATGGTGTTTTTAAACGACGGAAACGAAAGGACAAGGGAGCGATGACAGTTGCTTTTGTCACTTATTGTTACCGTAACAAAATTTAATGAAAAGGTATGTGGTCGAACACTAGATGAAGTTTTTAAGAACTTTGAATGTTATACACCTCCGCAGGGTTATAGTATCTTACTCATTATTAAAATGGATACAAGTCGCCTATCTCATATCCTATTACTAGTTTAACAGTGTTTTAGTTTGATTTTCCAGAGCTCGATATCATTACAATGAACCAATTTACGGAGGCCTGTTTACTTAAATAAATTAGTTAAGTCGGCATGACACTAATATCCTATACAGCCATATCGCCACAATTCGGTCAACAGGAATGAAACCCAAACTCATTATGTAAGTCATAATTATACAATAATGTACCAAAAATCAGCTAATCACCGGGCATTACAAAAAGACTTTTCATAATATTTTTGAAGTCCATAAGCCGTAAATATGTAAAAAAAAATAGCCACCGCGAACAAAGCGCAATCTGTTAGTTAACATTAATATTATACATTGAGGAAACATAAATCAGCTCCAGATCTTCAAGTATAAACCAAAAAGTCCGAGCAACGTTTTAATTTCAGAATGGCATAATGATATAATTTCAGATGGATGGAACGACGCTCATTGGTAACACTATGTCTCAATGCAAATTAGTAACGGCCGCATAAAACTAGATCATAATGAAGAGCAACTGATAGTATGTCTTCACAAGTTCTACGGTCGACTTTTTATAAATCTAAAAATGATCTATGATAGAACCACTAACGCAACTGGTTTTGCTAAACACTAATTACTGAATGTATTTATAGTCGTACAAGCGATGCTGCATGCGCGACAAGATATGCGTACCCCATAAGTGCACCTGGTCTCTAAATGTTTTTTTTTTGTTTTTTGTCTTGTCTGCTTATACTGGGATTTTAATTTATAAATTTATTAATTGAGTATCGATATGCTCCCTATTCGTTTAAGTCAAGAACAGGCAACATCACTAATCCTTTTTCGGTCTGTCCCTTTTACAACGCAAATGCATTAATTAGCTTCTAATTGTTCCTTTTCGATCACGTCCGTTTGAATATTTTATCAGTTTAAACAATTTTCCACTTTATTTTATAAAATAAGTTTGCTCACATCTCCACTTCATCATCAAACCATCCACATCAGTAATAAGGCTGAGGACTTTGTACGGCAGACAGTAACCAGGTTCATCTCTCAAAAGGGAAATCTGTAATGCACCCTTGAAGGCTTTATGGCTCAAGCGTCTTATTCCTTTCTCGCGATCACCTGTAAACAAAAGGTGCATAATTGTGTTATCGTAAACGCAAACGTGTTTCTAGTTATGCAGCTTAAACAAACAAAAATTGGTTAACAGTTGAAAAACATGATTATTCAAGTTGTACCTTTGATATTCACTTTATTTTGAATAGTGGAAACCAGATATGTCTAAATATGTAAAGACTGCTATGTTTTCCACCATATAATTAACATATTCAACTATAACATAAATGGTCAATTCATCTCTTTTAAATAAAGGCGAAAGATACCAAAGGAACATTCAAACTCATAAGTCGAAAATAAACTGACAACGCCATGGCTAAAATAGAAAAAGACCGCCAGACAAAACAGACAAACAAAATTACACAAAACTAAAGACTAAGCAACAAGAACCCCGCATTTTTTGGCGAAATGACATCCTGTTGCGAACTTTTGATATACATTAATTCCGCGGTCGTTTACCCCACTAAAACGTGTTATGACGTATATGTACATTAGGCTACTTATAGGTGCTACCTTTGTTGTCAGAATCATTCGTAGCATGCCTTACAAGCAATTGGACCAAAATCAATTTCTCCTTTTCGGATTGAAATGGCATTGTTCATCCGACAAAGAATAATGTATTATCAAAAGAATTTCCTAAAATTTAATATAGGTTAAGGCGATGTATAATTTCACCCAATGCAACAATTTACCAAACATTCATTTTGTTATAATTCACACTTGTACATGACACTTCACACACATTATCGCTTCTTAACAATTTCGAATATACAGATAAAAGATAAACAAAAAACTTAAGATACTCTCATTTTGAAGAGCCGTATATTCTAGTGCTAAAGAATATATTAACCAGGCCGAAAGCTAAAATAATATCTCTATCTTACTTTCATACTTGTCTTTGTCAACAACACCTTGAAATGAAGCCTGCAACAATAAAAGACAAAAACATAGTACTGGTTTTAAATTAGAAAGACAATAGTAGTGGTATACTGCTAAGGGATAGGCGAAAGATACCACAGGGACATTCAAACTAAATATCGATACAGATATGTATGGTTAATAAGAAATCTTATATTTTATTTATTAATGAATATAATCAACAAAAATTTCGCAAAGATTAATTTCGATCTGATTCAGTTTTACTTACTTCGTTTCCACTGTTTCCAACTGCCTTTGTATATCGCTGCCAGAATTCAGAATCAATATCGTCTATACTTTCAAGCCATAACTAGAAAACATGAATTTTTATGAAAATATAAATATTTGGCATTTATATAAGAACATGACCGTCATGATTTTCGGCGTTTCAAGAGGTTTATTTTTACTTTACCTATATCCTCTTTCCTGTTGAAATTGAAAGGTCCCTCATTCGAAATAACAATTAGTTCTTTCAATAGATTTCGGTCTGAAATGCACGACTAAACACTTTTAAGTGTTTGTTATCATACTATAATCAGCATACTAAGTAGAAAGAGACTATAAGGGTAACTGAAGGTCTTCAATGGAACTGGTTAGAATAACCATATCATTCGTATAACAGAATTCCAATTTTGTCTTTATCTGTATTTATAATTGTCGTTACTACTATCTCGTACCCTTTCCCTCAAATGTGACATACCGAATTAGACATATCACCGGGTTTGTATTTGCTTGAGCAACACGACGGGTGCCACGTGTGGAGCAGGATGGGGTTCGTGTTGCTCAGCCTTTGGTTTTCTATGTTGTGATTTGAATACTGTTGTTTGTTTGTTTGTCTTTTTCTTTTTTTAGCCATGACGCCGACTTTGAATGTCCCTTTGGTATCCTTCGCCTCTCTTTTTATACAAACATCAAGTGTTTTGATAAAGTTCACGAAATGGTTAATATGGAAATTGGACTTTAAGGGAGGTTATAAACATCCTTGCTTTGATTCACTATTTACTGACAACCAGTCCGTGAAAAAGCCATTTATACGCACACACCAACAAACATCATTGTAAAAGATCGGATTGCTTTAAACATGATACAAATGACTTTTAATTTGATGAATAAAATTAGCCTGTTTATAGTCATAAGCTTTCTTGCAGTCAATAAATGCAGCATATGTAGACTTTGTTTCAATTTCCTGCACTCGATGATTGAAGTGACAATGCTGTATGGGTTTTGCTCATTGTTGAAGGGTGTACGGTGACCTATAGTTGTTATCTTCTATGTCATTTGGTCTCTGGTGGATAGTTGTCTCATTGGCAATCATACATTATCTTCTTTTTTTATATATGATCAACCATTCAGTTCATCATTCAAAACACCATGTTCCTTTTCCCAAAATACTAATTGGTTATTTGAAATATTATAAAATATTATGTATATAACTGGCACCAAGGCTACACCACGATAATTCACTGGACATCTGCTGTCAACAGTAGAAGACTTTGGAACAGTTTTACTCAACAGTTCTGGTACCATACCAGTTTCAAAACGTTTATTGAAAAGAGATTGTACCTACTACAAAAATCAGAAAAGGAAACGCACTTACCCAACAATGGTATAATAGAAAAATCGACAAACAAACAAAACATAATTAACAATATAATACCGACCAAAGGACTGATCGTAATTCTGAAGGTCGGTTAAAGTACTTACCCTGCTTAGAAATCATACTATCCTTAAATTTGAACTTTGCATTGATTTAGGGAATTATGGTCAAATATGGTTTTTTTTTAAACTATGGGCATAAGCAGTTTACATCATTTATTATTTGATGGGATTTTTGATGAAGTGTTTTTATTTTCATTTTAAAACCAATGTTGATTTTTTATTTTTTTCCATTTGTGAATCCCAGTCTCCTTTTATGTGTCAGATTATTTGTAAAGATGTACTTTATCAGTACTATAGACCAAAGGTGTGAAATATACCATTTTATATGAATATTTTAAGTTACGGTATTATGCAAATGTTTGTATTTGCTTACTTTGCACAATAACACAATAAGAGCACACATTTATAAATAAATAATTTATGTCATATCATGATGCAATTAATTTTTGCATTACCTTTTGCTTTGATTTTAATTTGTACAGAAAATTTTAAATAACTACAGGAATTTTAATCATATTTTAGTCTCGGAGGACATGAAACCAATACTTATATTCACACTAAACAGAATAAAAAAGAAAATAAAACATCGCACCACAACACACGTACATAAAAATTTGTTTGGTCCATATATTAAAAAAAAACCTTGTTAAACACTATTAAATAAGGAGCTTAAATTCTATATAAAAATTCCTCCATTTTCACACCAATATGCCAAAATAACGGGTGGACAAGCAGGTAGTCAGAAAAAATAACCAGAAGCACAAGTTTGGCATACGATAAATCCGCAACTAAAAGCTGTTGCATCTGTCGTAAACCGTTAATTTAATTCCATCAATATTAATACTTGTTTATCTTGTCAATGTAGATAATAAAAAGATACATGGTAATCTGACGCATGTTTATGTGATTTTTGACACGTTTTTAGTTATTTAAAATTTATTTTGCTGGAAGCGGTTTCTAGATTAATCATCATGAGGAAACGTTCAACCCTAACGACTTAAACGATACCTTCAAAGTATAGCCAAATTTATCTACGGTCAAATATGTCTGAGTGAGTTAGAACCTTTCTTTCTCATTAATTTCTAAATTGATCAACGCAAAATTTAAAGAGAGTATGCTATGAAAATAACACTTTGTTAATTCTGTGCGTCCGAGACGCTTTTCTGTATTACTTCTATCGCTCAAACCGGAATTTTTTAAAGCAAAGGATGTTTATATACCTGAACACGTATGATCAAAATTTATTCAAGGTCCACTTTACCCGAGTGCGTTGGAACCTTATTTTCTTACTAATTTCATCAACAGAAAAAAAGTAGTTCTAGTGCTCGCAATACTTACAGGATATAAGAAAAAGGAAAAAAACACACATAAGTGTGTTATATTATATTATCGTCTTAATACTCGTATATAAAAGACTTCATTCGCGATGTCGTATTGAATAAAAAGTTCCTATCATTAGCTTTCTACCCTCAATGAAGTTGATGACAACACAAAGTAAAAATATATTTATTGATTGACAAATATTTTTACGTTTGGAGGACGTGGTTTTCAACAAGTAATTGGCATTTCTATGGACCACACGTTTTCCTCTTGTCGATATGTTGCTTTATTCATAGGAGCCAAACTTCATACAGGCGCTCATCAGAGAGAACGAAAGAGACTAGCATTACTCTTTAACTTCACATTCTGCTATATAAATGATGTCCTCTCACAAAATAATTATAGTTTGATAACTAAGTTAAACGCAACTTTCTCATCGAAATTGAAATAAAAAGTAAAATAACAAAAATACCGAACTCCAAGGAAAATTCAAATCGGAAAGTCCCTTATCAAATGGCAAAATCAAAAGCTCAAACACATCAAACGAATGGAAAACAACTGTCATATTCCTGACTTGTTACTGGCATTACTATATGTAGAAAATGGTGGATTAAACCTGGTTTTATAGCTAGCTAAACCTCTCACTTGTATGACAGTCGCATAAAATTCCTTAATATTGACAACAATGTGTGAACAAAACAAATAGACATGATAGGTAAAAATGTCAAAATAAGGATACAGCAGTCAACATTGTGTTATAATCTTAATCACTATGAAAACCAACAAATATGTCAACAAAGAAAACAAAATGGCATATAGAGAAAGCACAAAATCAAAATGAAAGACAAGAATACAAAAAATGACTACAGCACAACAACACAATGGCGGAATGCATAAGTACCGAGACACGCCAAAAGGTTATTACCAAATATGGACTAAACACTAAAGGTAAAAGATGATAAACAACGTCAGTACCTAGAATCTATACTTCAAGACCATCATGTAATATTTGTGAAGTTGATACGGAATATTTATCAACAAGGTCTTGGTATCTTCCGACGAACTTTTAAGAAAAAGAACGAGACGTTCTTTAAAATAGCCCTGGTTCATCAACCTTCTGCTCAGACAATGGTGACGTTTTACATAGTCTGAGTAGCAGCTGTAAGCTCTTGAATACGGAATGAGTTGGGAAATATATATTCCATATGCAGGTGAAGTTGGTTTATTGCTACTAAGGGTAGGGGAAATTGATAATTTAAAAATTAAAATCGTCTCGTTTGTCATAGATTCGAGATGACCGTATATGTCAAATTCAAGGTATAAGTCTAAAAATGAGGCGGAGGAAGCTGAGTCTGTTCTTCCTTTATTTCTAGATCTGGAGGATATATTGATGGAACCCAATCAGAAAAGTTTGGATTGTTAATGGAAAGAACATCATCAATATATCTGAATGTGAAATTAAATGATCTGGCTTCTTTGATCTTCTTGTTTTTGACAAGTGTCTGAAATAAGTCCGACTCATATGAAAATAAGAAGAGTCGGGAGGAGAGGCGCACAATTCGAAAAAGGATTCACAAATACAATTAAATATGCCTCATATCGTTACTTATATCTAGAAATTGACAACGAGGTTCGGTTGAAAACAAAAATTTAAGACAAAACGGATGATTTCAGCCTCCCAATAGTGACCTTTTTCATTTCTATGGAGCAACATTACAGCAAAGCCTACATATGTGGTATTTTCTTCCAAGTGATACGATATTCCAGAGCTTGCCTTTTCTATCATGAATTTCTTTAGAGAGGGCGTATGCTTACAAGGTAACTATTCAACCAAAGCTTCTAAGTGGTTAACAATCACGAGTTGGTTGACCGTTCTGGTATATATGGCCCTCTTTTCCTAGGTTGTGACAGCACGGCATAAGAGTTAATATAGAAATTTTTTCTAACAATGACGGGAGCCACAAGTGGAGCAGGTTCTGCTCACCATTCCGGGGCACCAGATATCCCCTTCAGTTGTTGATGGGTTTCTTGTTGCTCAGTCTTTACTTTTCGATGTATTTGGTTTAGACTTATAGTCGTTTCGTCGTTTTTAGTTTTTCTTATCATGGCGTTGTTAGTTTATTTTCGACTCTTGGTATCTACCGCCTCTTTTTATGGTTAACTGTAGAAAACGGAGCACGTGTCTCATGTTTGTATTCGCGCATGCGCAACTTACGTTCGAAATAATCACAGATGTGAATGAAACTTAGTTTGAAACCACAACGTTCGCAAATATCCTGATAATCAACTAAAAAATTCGGCAAATGCATGTACCAAGTCATTAATATAACA